GACACTTTGCCCTTTTTTTGTAAAGTAAAAGATCAATGACTTCAAATTTCCCCACTTCAGTTGCAGGTCAAAATTTATAGAAGAATTCTAGCAATTTACACAGGTTTACAGTTCAGCTGTAGTTTCTATTAAATCTTGAAAGGTAAACTGTTAAAATGGACATTGTAACATAAAAAATACTAAAATAATAAAAAGCAACGTGGTTTACAGTAGACTGTGTTTCTCTGAACCTGTCTATTTACATGGTGTGAGGTTTGCCCTTTTAGATTACATGAAAATCAGTATTAAGAATTTTTTAAAAAAGTGTCATGAGCTCTAAGATGGAGATGCGACAAAAGAATATCATGAGCGTGGTACCAAGAGAGGTAAAAAGAAAGTATCAGTTAAAATAACATTCAGTATGAAAATGGTGGGAGACCAGAAAACGAACAGTCTATGCTGCACTGGGCCTTTGGAAAAGGCTCAAGAAAGGAATGAATATTAATGTGTGAAGCGAGATGTTGATACAATAGTTTCTTTCCACGTTTGCAAAGAAAAATCTTCCCTAGCTCAAACCTTTTCCTATAATCTAACACACGAAAAAGATAAATAAATAATTTGGAAATGGAAAATGCAGACAGATTTTCTCAATACTATAAAGTTTATTTTATGTTGGAAAGAATGAAAGTACAAACATTAGCTGAGTAGCTATTCACCAGTGTGTTGATCTACCTTATCAGTTCACCAAAGGACATGTTTATCTGTCAAGTATATCAAGTGAAGTTTTTACACTGGGATGTGAAGCGGTTACATCATTTGCATCTCCGCCCATGGCTTTGAAAAACATCACACTGGCCACCATTACATCAAAATTGCTTTATCAGTGAACAATACAAGCAAGATAAATGACTGGGACATGGGCAAACACTGGTGATGGGTAGATATCATGGACACATCTAAGAAAAATAATGCCTATGGCAAGCACTCAAGTTGTGATCCTATCTAAACACCTGATAAATTTTACTTGCAAAAAAACTTGACCACTAGCTCAGTTAATAAATAAATTAATTAATTAATGAGTTTCATCAATATTTTGATTTGCAAATTATAGCACTAGATGAAAATTTCAATTGTGAAAAGGTTAAGAAAAATGTCTCTGTGGAGTTCCTTTCAGGGGCATATCTTAGGTAATCGGGCCTTAGGCAAGCTCTAAAGCTACACTCCTATCTTTACATCAGACACTTATTTTTATTGTGTAAACATGTATGGACACATAGCCTTCACCTTGCACTTCCCAGACACCCCGTCCATTTTTTTTTTTTACTTAAAACCAAATGAATGAAAAACCATGATAGTTCTTATTCTCAAAAATACGAGAAAGATTTATAGCACTAAAATGCACCTGGGGTTTCAGAATCGGTTGATATGATTTTTAAAAATAAGAATTGTGCCTTTTTTCTGATTTTTTTCCTAAGCACTTTGAAATGAATCTATGCCAGCAATCTTTAAGTGCTGAATATATTCTCAAGTTTCTCAATGGTCTTTTACCAATAGTTTCATTCTCCTCCCCCCTCCTCTTTATTCTTGCTTGGTCGTCTAAAGCTCCCCAATGTGACTTGCTCAAATTAATCAATTAAAAAAAAGGTATGCACAGCTAATTGACTTACCAGATGAATAGTATGGAGAGCGTGAAAGAAGGCCTTATTTTTAGTGCCAATAATGTTGAATTAAAGAAATGGCCAATTTTACTAAACAGATGAATTAAATACAGAATGCAAATATCCAATAAAACTAAAACTACAGACACATACCTAGTTTACATGAAAATTTCAGTGTGAACAGAAAACTGTGACTGCTTATGATTAGAATTGTTGATGGTTATCTGTTAGAGAAGGCTAGAATCATCAGCCTTAAGATAAAAGTGAAGTGTACACCCAGGAGAAATGAATTAAAACTGTAATTAGTTCCGTTGTCAGACTTCCAAAATAAATGGCTCTAAAGAAGTTAAAGGAAGATGGGATTTAGTACCAAAGAGTATAAAATTGCAAATTTTTCCAAAATCCATGTAATGTCCCTGTGAGTGAAAGGGATGCCAACTCTTCACTTTGGAAGGAAAAGTGCCATAAAACAGAATTTCCTGGGGTAAGCAACAATTTTTCGATGCTTTACAGTGGTTAATGATTCCATTCTGTTTTTCTTTTTTCGAAAACTGTAGTTCTTGTAATAATCTCATGAAATTATTACAGAGGGTTGCCATCTATTAAGGTCAACATGGTCGTATGGCAAGCACGGATTCTTAGCATTGAAATCATAAACATACAACTGTGGGTGCAAATTATGCAGGCCACGTAACTTGCATAGAGCACTTTCCAGGTATTGGTAAGTGCAGGCCCTCCACAGCAAATATTTCTCTATTTTGTGTAGAATATCTGAAGAGGAAAGCTTTTAATTCAACTGGCCACTCACATGCACCTCAGAAGCAAAATCATCCCCGATAAATTTCTCTTTCCTTTAAGGATTGCAAATGATACACGCCACAAAAAATGATTTGCTTGAATTACTGCCATCACAGTTACATAGATGTGCAGTAAATAAGTGAATTTCCATGCCCCCCTTCCCCCCCCCCTCCATCTCCACCTTTTTCACAGAATGGTTCGAGTCCCTACCACTTTCTTACTTTTCTTTATTAAACTGGAAGGGGGTAGGTTCTGAAATGCATTCAAATAATTAAAAAAAAACTACACAAAACTAGACATAACCATAATTTATTTATTTCAATTTCCACATGCACATGGAACAGTGAAGGACTTCAATTTCAATCTGCAGCAGTGATTTTTTACTCTTCTAAGGAGTGCAGATTGCATCTTTCAAAAAAGTTAAACCCAGCACTGTGAATGTCATTGTAAAATGACCAAGAGTCAATGAAAAAGGTATTTGGTAAGCGTTTGATGAAGTCAGTAATAAATATCAGGTAGGAACAAATTTAATTTTGAATTGTCACAATCCATGTAACACTATAGCATTGTCATAGCACACCCTTTGCAATTATAAGCAGTTCTAGCACAGTAATTATTTCTACATTTTCTTGAAAACACATTGAAACAGACATATAACACAATTACACTAACATTTCCAGTTAAGTTCTATAACAACAAAGAGATCTTTCGATCATGAAAGAAACGGCATCTTTTCGCTTCAAAACTCGTGGTACTTTAAATTGGTTGGCTGTCGCTGTTGTATTTTCCAACATGAATTTCCGGAGCTCCTGAAAACTTCCAGGCTTTACTACATAAATTACCATGGGACCAATGCCTCTCTTCTGTCTAAAAGACTTGTATGGATAGGAAGATTCTTGCAAATTTTGGTCCAACTAAAAGAACAAAAAATAAATAAATAATAAATAAATAAAATTAAAAAAATAAATAAATAAATAAATAATAATAATGCAGATATTTGTTTTAAGTTTTAATCATATTCATAGAAAATTAATACAGTACCAAAGAGTGAGATAAAAAGTTATTAAAAGTTTTATCTTTATTTTGCAAATCCAAACAGTATGTTAAATGAGTAAATAACACTGCATAAATTCTGAGTCTCGACTGACTTACATCTGAACCAATTTCTTAAATATTCCCAAAGTGAAGTTAAAATGAGTCAATAACACATGTAACTAAAGCAGAACCAATAGTTGTCACTTCAAAATAAATTGTCATTTATCATTTTACTGAACATGACTCCATTAAAACATACCATGCACATTTGCTTCGTCCCAAGAGTCCCTGCCTTCTCTTCTGAGAGCTCCAAGAAGACCATATAGTACGGAGCTGATCCTTTTCTGTCTACAATTGAACAAACAACATACGTCATCAGATTTGTTAAATTTTCTAGTGCAGGTCCGTTCATAGGGAATATCACTCTCTATTGGGATCACATCCCATGAAAACATTTGTTATAGTGATAAGTAAAATATATTCATTAATTTGCCTCAGTATTGTAATTAAGTGAAACTCTTTTCACTGATGTCTTAAAATATTTGGAGATTTTTTTTTTTTTTGCTATCTGCTAATCAGATTATTATTGTTTTCAAGTCAATGATTGCCAACAACAAAGTGCTTAAAATGTGCTTCAAATATGTTATCTATTGTTATAGATGTTATTTAAAATAGAACAAATAATTCTGAAAAAAAAAAAATTCTAGATACACGGAGTTGGCAATGTTGCACTTCTGATATGGACCTTGAGAAATATTGAAATTCTGTCCCCTTACCAGCCTCACTGGCCATAATACTCTCAGCACAGCAGTAGTCCACAAGGCTTACATTGGGCCAGCTGCTCACAGTGTCCACCAAGGTCTTGTAGAATACATCCTCTGATATCTTTTCACCATGTACATTCAGAAGCTGACCTTGCCTAAGAGTAAAATGTAAACTTGGTTGGAATGCCAATCTTCGAAGATTATGGTGGGTAGGCCATATTGTCAAGAATATGTCAGACGAGAGGATTACAAAGACTGCCCTTAGACGGCACCACAGGATATAGGAATAAAAGGCTAAAGACAGTTTGGGCAGAAAACCAATAAAGAATATGAATAAAATGGGTCTTTTGCGGAATAAAGTTGAGATAAAGGCTTTGAAAATCCTTTTTATTTGTTACTCATCTCACTCCAAATCTCCCAATAGTTTCTTGAAGATTGGTGACTAATGTCAAGATAGATACGAAATTGAATTACCTGTACATGAATTCCACAATAGGACACTGGCCATTGAAATCCACTATCTTGACCACATCACCAAACCTGTATCGCCACAGTCCACTCACAGTTGAAATGACCATTTCATACACCCCTCCTTGCTCTACCTAAAATAAATAATGTCAAATGTGTACTGAAAATATGTGTATGGAAGTTGAGACCAGCTGTTTAGATATAAGAGTTAAAGGGATAATAACTCTTCGTATGAAATCTGTATTTCACAATAAAAACATTGTGAGTGACTCATAAAAATATAATATATTCTGTTTTCCCACAAAAACGGCTGTTATAGCTATTATTCTGATATCTGAGCTTGTCTTTAGACCACGTGACCTCCACTGATGGCTATACTCTGTTAAAATCTCTTAAGAGATTTTATCTAAAAAGTTTGGTTTTTTGTTAACTTTGAATGTAAAAATGGATTCATTAACCATTGGTAAGTATGGGAAAATTGTTGTTTACTCCAGGAAAATTCATTTTTTGGCCGAAACGAAGAGTTATTATCACTTTAAATATATTTACAGATATATTTTGATAAATTTTTGACTTTGTTCCTATCCTTAAAATTATAGCCCAGAGTGAAATTTTCAACTGTACACTGCATAATTATAATTATTTTTAATAAAAACATCTATCATCATGTAAACTTGTTGTGTCTATCCTCAAAATTAATCAAGTAAATGTCTCTCTCAGGCATCTTAGTTGACAAATATGCGACAACAACATTAATTCCAATACCATACCTCTCCCATTAATAGCGTTTCTGGTTGTTCTTTGTCTGTGTCAGCTATAGGGATGAATTCATAAAACATAGACCTGGGATGAAGAAGATACGTGCGGTTCTTGTTCCAAGGGTCACAATTTACTCCTGTGAAAAAAAAAAATTAACATAAATATTTATATCTAGTATCAATTTATTTTCACATTTAAAAAAAAACATGAAATTTACTTTCTTTTCAAACTTTTTCTTCATAAGGAGTTGCAGAAGTTAATTTTCACACCACCAATGCAGCCCTAACATTTTGTGCAAAGGTCATTCATAACACATACATCTTAATGAAAACTATCAATCATGATTTCACTTTCATAGGGCTGGCATGAATATTAGGTGCTTCAAGTGTTAAAGACAGTCATTTTAAAACACAACAAAGTCATATTTACCTAGCAGCCCCTCTGTGGCTGCATACAATGGAGAGTACAAACAGACACCATTGCAGTACTTCTGTCTAAGCTCCTTTCCATAAAGTTCAAATGTACCCGTGTCAACACACACAACAATCTTCAAGAGGGGCCATATTCGTTTGGCTATCCTATCAAACCCTTTCTCAAATTCTTTCTTTAGCATACGAGCCCTTGCCGTGTCCGGTTCCATCAAACTGTTTAGCTTCTCCCTGATATCTTCGCTTATGTTGAGATCTGGGTTCACGCGGCCGTATTCTATGTCATCTATTAGTTGTCTCCAGTTCAACTCTAGTGCCACAAAAGCGGTGTGGACAAGTGAGGCGAAATTGGCTTCAATCATTCCTAATTTTTTGTCTTTCAAAGCAAACAATAAATGAACATATAAAGCCTCTGGTTCGGTAGGAATTTCAAAGCCTGCCTTAGGTGTGCTGTAAAAGGCCAACATGTGCTTGGATGTTGTAGGGGAGGAAGAATTGGGGCCCACGGGTATATTAGCTGGTGAGGTCTGCCACTTTGGTGTAAACATAATCTTCATATCTTTTTGCAAATTCCTTGTGCTGGGGACTTTCCCTCTCATTACAGAATACGATACAGCCACGCCCTGCAGCATAAAGTTTGTCTGCTGCTTCTTTATCATGGGGATGAGTTTGCTGTGCCCCGAGGTCCCTGACGTGACTGCTAGGATGACTGGAGAGTCTTTGGTCAGCACATTTTGTTCCCCTTGGTGAAGCCGAGTGATGTAAGGCTGGAAGTGGGCATACCTGGTCAGTGGGTGACTTTTCCTAAACATCTCTGCCGACTTGATCTCTGAAAATTTGTGATCCTTGCCATAATCAGTGGCAGCATTAGCTCTGAGACGCTGCAGCAGGATTTTCTCTTGGACACTGGTGGCTTTATAACAGTCATACTGCAACCTCTTCTCTTGAAAGTGACCAATCCCTTTTAAGATGGTGGTGGCAAAATAATGGTTGACAAGAGAGCCAAAGGTGTGATTACTGTTGGCTGACTTGATGTTCATGTCTATGGCCATGCAGCCAACAAAAGCTCCTGTCAAAACACCAGCCACTGAAACAAAAATGGATACTTATTATTATTATATATATTAACAGATTTGAAAAATTCCATTGCAGTTTGAATTTTTGAAAACATTAGTCAAAAATGTTATTAAGCATTTGACAAAATAGGTTTCAAAAATTAGCTTGTTTTTTTTTTTTTTTTTTTTGGCTTAAAGCTAACTTTTATCTGTGTTAATACCTCAGTAGAATCTAACAAATTATCTTCGAATAATGGTTTACATACTCCAGCCCACACTTCATTATAAAACAGGTGAAAATAGGTGAATGTGCGTTTACAAAAAAATCTACTTGGTTTAAGTCAAAGAAAGAAAAGTGGTCTTAAACGATGTTAAGTAAATCGGAAAATTTAGTGACAAACAGTAATCAAATAGCTTCGAAGTACAGAAAATATTTGTATATTTTGGGTCAGAATAATTTGAAGTTTTTTAAGCACACCTTCTTTAGAATATATTCCAAACTCCTCCTACTGTCCACACGCACTAGTTCAATTGTTTTGGCATTTTTGTGATGGAATTTATTTAAATTCTGCACTTAACAGGAAAGATACACAGTAGAAATAAATTAGATAAATCATTTCTGATTTAAGTTTTACCTCTAAGGGATTTCCTAAAGATCCATCTTGCATTGATGACCTCATCTCTTTTCAGAGCATAGTCTTTAGATGTTAGGTATTTCACTACCCTTCCGTCATAACTCATCTTGAAAAGTTACTGTCAAACTTCTAAGAAAATGAAAGAATAAAAATATGATATCTAAAAAAAATACAATGTTTGCTTAAAGGTATTCAAATTACTGAAGACTGTGTTCAACATTAAGCAAAATCACTGGTTATTATTACTATTCAAATAACTGATTTGGGATGCATCATTAGGTATTTCTGCCTTAATAAGTATGTCTGGTTATTTATGAAAAGCTCAGACATGGGGAGAACTTTGGGGGTACTGAAGGTCCAGAGGACCTACACTACAAAAAAATCAGCAGGTCCTTCTAATTCTTTGCAGGTCTCTTTCACAATATTTAGGTACGATTCATTGTTATGTATTGTGTTTCCTTGCCCAAATTACCAGTCCAGAGGACCTGCATTGACAAAAATCATGCAAGACCTTTGGCTTTTCAGGCAGTCATAACCAGTTGGACCAGCAGTTTCCCCATGTCTGTTTAAACGGTCATTAAGACAAGCCACTAGATCAACTGAAGTCTCAAAGCACGAAAATTACGCGTAATGGAAGTCTTCCGACAGGTCATTTTTTAAAAATTTTCTTACATATTCACATTCATAACACACTAAAATAACATCTTAAAATGTGAGTACTGGAACGACGTAGGATCATGGACATTAATATAATATGTGAGGCAAATTCTTGCCAGTCTCAGGCTCTTTGCTTAGGTAACATCAAACCTAGACAATTATTTTCGCAGTTCGAAAATGCGGAAGTCCGCATTTCTAATATCATAATAACTTAGATTTAACAATAAAGCGCGAACAACTGAGTGCTTGAAAGGGTTATAACTAAGAAAATATTAGCTTTAAAACGATTTAAACGTGACAGGCTATGCACTTACCGGTCAACATGGCTGACAGCCTTGACCTTGATAGAGGAAGTGCTTTATACGCACGCGCGATAACCCAGAAATTGAAACTCACCTCGACGTGACCTGTCAGTACCTGTAACTCTGCCTGCTTGGCATTTCACTTGCAGTAGTACAGCTGTGGCGTTAATGAAAGTAAGCAATAAATACAATGTCTGAAACGTTGTCGGACCGGATTTCTGCATGCATGAAGAGGGTGCTGAAAGACTTTGAAAAAATCAGAGGTAAGTTTAAAAAAATATTTTTTTAATTTGATAAATTAAGATCGGATGATGTACTCTTCTCTTCCATGCTGAAATCCGTGTGTTAGCACTCCTATTTTGGGTACTTGTAATGAATGGTCAATTTACTTCTCAGAACACAAAATGTCATCCTTGCAGACAAAAATTTAATTTTACATTTATATATTTAAAAGAATACTTGGGATGTATGGTGACACACCCATTTTTAAAAAAAAAAAAAAAAAAAAAAAAAAAAAAAAAAAGTTTCAATTAAAAATAAAACTAAGAATATAATGATCTTATTGTTTATGTTTTAGTATTGCTTTAATTTAATCTAATCATTTTGAGGAATTGAGAAAGCTTTAATTCTTGATTAACTGACACATACTGTACAGTACTGTAATTCAGACCCAAAGATCTATTTCTAGATTAATATTAATAAAACCCCCTTTACACTGGACAGTGTCCTTTCTGGTCCCGTAGTATGACCCCATTTGAGAGTAAAAAAAATCTTTATGTGCAGACAAAAATAACTGGCCAATCATTGAGCATTCATTCTGCAACCAAAGCGATATGCTTGTGCCTGCTTTCTACGACCACAGCAGTGATGCCAGTTTCATGGTCTTCCCACAAAGGACGCAGAAAGGATGCCATCTAGTGTACAGAGGTTTTTTTTAAGATACAAATTAGGATCCCAGCTAAAACACTGAAGTTTCAATATAAATTTAATGGGTAGTATGTTAAATTCTTATTTTTCTTTTTACCTCTTTAGGCCAGAGCAAAGAAGATGGGTTTAGCATAGCATTCTGGGATATAGTAGTGATCACAGCAGCTGATGAAGAGCAGAAAAAAGCCTATGAACTTCAACTGTATGGAAAACTGCAGCGAAATGAAATACCAAAGGGCATTCCATACCATGTATATGCTGATCCACCAGGATATAAACTTGGTGGGTAAATACACACAGACACACACACACACACACACACACACATATTAATTAATGTACCAAACTTATTACCGAATTCTGATAATGGATCTGTAATCCATTACATACAATATGATCAAGTCTTAGAAAACTTATGCATGCATGTAAGTAATGTATGCTTTAATTAACATGCCCATATTATTATGCTTTGGGGGTTTTTACTCCCTTTCATTATTGCTCATCCTTCTGTATAGTTTAGTTGATTATTCGGTTGTGTGAGTGCAGGAGTTCCATTTGGGTGACTCTTATGTAATACCCAGCCTACCAGATTGTCAAGCTCTTATGGTGAACTAAGGCAAATAAAACGTTTTATTCATCTCAGAGGTGAACCAGTACTGACAGTATCAGTTCAGTACATCACAGGACATTTCCTTTGCGGTATGTTATTAGTTTCTCACTATCAAATGATCTGGTCTCTTAATTATTGAGAGGTGGATAGGCACATGCTCTTGTTTTTAATGTATGGAGGAAAATTACTGAGTAGAAAATGACCACTTGGAAATGTATGGTCTTTTACTTTCTGCACTGAAGTATCTAACTATCTTCAGACCATGTCACAACTGTATATTTCCAGATAAAATTACTCCATTGATGTATAATTATTCAAATTCAGCTATGGTAGATGATGGTATTGATAGATGATGAGCATTAAACATTTACATCCACTTTTGACAAAAAAGAAAACTACGTATACATCTAATATGCTATCTATAAAGAAGAAACCCTCATTGCACTAGCTCAGTTTCTCTCCTCCGCTTTTGCTAGGAGGGATTTAGAAGACAGTGCTGCATTCATTGGCAATTGAATAGTAGTAACTCTAGTTAATTGATTAATGAATTTATTTATTCATTTATTTATTTTACTTTATTTATTTATTATTATTATTATTTATTTATTTATTTATTTTTTTTAGTAAGTAAATAGTCTTATTCATTGTAATTGCTCAATAGCATATTCACTAAAATTATATTTATATTGTCATTTTCATCCACCCAGGTGGATGCATACATTACAGTGAAAATAAACTAAACTATAATCTGCTGTAGGCAAATATCACACGCTTAATGTAAGCCCCAGGCTAGATATATTCACCTGCCATGAATCTACATTGAATCTATATAAAATTGGACTGAAGAGATACTTCAATTTGCCATATTAATCGTTACATCTTGAATTTGGGAGAGTACCTGGAATCTTGTATCTATTTTCATATACTGGAAACAACAGGTGGGCATGTTCATAATGGCAGTAGTCTCTGAAGGGGGGGGGGGTGTGTACACTGTGTATAAATGCCCCCTATAAAAAAGATTAAGCATGGTTCTTGTGAAGAATAGTTCACCATCATCATGCAAAGATTAGACAGTATTTTTCAAAATCAAAACATTTTGGCCAGTATAGATTTTAAACTAAACCATAACTATCATGACTGAACTTCCAACAAAATATTTGCCATAATTATTTGTGTTGGTCTGTTGTCTAACACATTGAAAACAACAGAGTAGTATCCATACATATACAATTAGAAATGAACCTAAATAATACACAGAATGTGCGTAAGTGCATAGGTAGTCAACAGTGCTGAGATATGCTGGTCTATATAATACCTCGTATTTCTAATCCTATTTACTCTTAAAGTTTTCTTTCATATCAGAAAATTATATAGCATTCCAGTCTTACCAGAAATTCCTATTCAGTATTACCTGAATTATTTAAGATTGTGCCTTGTCAGTAATTTACATGTGTGCATTTGTAGTTTTATCAGTAAAAAGAGATAACTTATTGTACCACCAGCGTTAGCGCTGGCGGTACACATGGTTTCGGTCCCGTCCGGATCGTTCCGCCGGCTCTGCCGGCTCCGCCGGACGGCTACCATTACCGCTTCTCCTCCTAGANTTTTTAAAAAATTTCTTACATATCCACATTCATAACACACTATAATAACATCTTAAAATGTGAGTACTGGAACGACGTAGGATCATGGACATTAATATAATATGTGAGGCAAATTCTTGCCAGTCTCAGGCTCTTTGCTTAGGTAACATCAAACCTAGACAATTATTTTCGCAGTTCGAAAATGCGGAAGTCCGCATTTCTAATATCATAATAACTTGGATTCAACAATAAAGCGCGAACAACTGAGTGCTTGAAAGGGTTATAACTAAGAAAATATTAGCTTTAAAACGATTTAAACGTGCCAGGCTATGCACTTACCGGTCAACATGGCTGACAGCCTTGACCTTGATAGAGGAAGTGCTTTATACGCACGCGCGATAACCCAGAAATTGAAACTCACCTCGACGTGACCTGTCAGTACCTGTAACTCTGCCTGCTTGGCATTTCACTGGCAGTAGTACAGCTGTGGCGTTAATGAAAGTAAGCAATAAATACAATGTCTGAAACGTTGTCGGACCGGATTTCTGCATGCATGAAGAGGGTGCTGAAAGACTTTGAAAAAATCAGAGGTAAGTTTAAAAAAATATTTTTTTAATTTGATAAATTAAGATCGGATGATGTACTCTTCTCTTCCATGCTGAAATCCATGTGTTAGCACTCCTATTTTGGGTACTTGTAATGAATGGTCAATTTACTTCTCAGAACACAAAATGTCATCCTTGCAGACAAAAAGTTAATTTTACATTTATATATTTAAAAGAATACTTGGGATGTATGGTAACACACCCATTTTTACAAAAAAAAAAAAAAAAGTTTCAATTAAAAATAAAACTAAGAATATAATGATCTTATTGTTTATGTTTTAGTATTGCTTTAATTTAATCTAATCATTTTGAGGAATTGAGAAAGCTTTAATTCTTGATTAACTGACACATACTGTACTGTAATTCAGACCCAAAGATCTATTTCTAGATTAATATTAATAAAACCCCCTTTACACTGGACAGTGTCCTTTCTGGTCCCGTAGTATGACCCCATTTGAGAGTAAAAAAAATCTTTATGTGCAGACAAAAATAACTGGCCAATCATTGAGCATTCATTCTGCAACCAAAGCGATATGCTTGTGCCTGCTTTCTACGACCACAGCAGTGATGCCAGTTTCATGGTCTTCCCACAAAGGACGCAGAAAGGATGCCATCTAGTGTAAAGAGGTTTTTTTTTAAGATACAAATTAGGATCACAGCTAAAACACTGAAGTTTCAATATAAATTTAATGGGCAGTATGTTAAATTCTTATTTTTCTTTTTACCTCTTTAGGCCAGAGCAAAGAAGATGGGTTTAGCATAGCATTCTGGGATATAGTAGTGATCACAGCAGCTGATGAAGAGCAGAAAAAAGCCTATGAACTTCAACTGTATGGAAAACTGCAGCGAAATGAAATACCAAAGGGCATTCCATACCATGTATATGCTGATCCACCAGGATATAAACTTGGTGGGTAAATACACACACACACACACACACACACACACACACACACACACACACACATTAATTAATGTACAGCACCAAACTTATTACCAATTTCTGATAATGGATCTGTAATCCATTACATACAATATGATGGAGTCTTAGAAAACTTGTGCATATAAGGAATGTACTGTATGCTTTAACATGCCCATATAATTATGCTTTGGGGGTTTTTACTCCCTTTCATTAGTGCTCATCCTTCTGTTTAGTTAAGTGGTTGTGTGAGTGCAGGAGTTCCATTTGGGTGACTCTTATGCAATACCCAGCCTACCAGATTGTCAAGCTCTCATGGTGAACTTAGGCAAATAAAACATTTTATTCATCTCAGAGGTGAACCAGTACTGACAGTATCAGTTCAGTACATCACAGGACATTTCCTTTGCGGTATGTTATTAGTTTCTCACTATCAAATGATCTGGTCTTTTAATTATTGAGAGGTGGATAGGCACATGCTCTTGTTTTCAATGTATGGAGGAAAATTACTGAGTAGAAAATGACCACTTGGAAATGTATGGTCTTTTACTTTCTGCACTGAAGTATCTAACTATCTTCAGACCATGTCACAACTGTATATTTCCAGATAAAATTACTCCATTGATGTATAATTATTCAAATTCAGCTATGGTAGATGATGGTATTGATAGATGATGAGCATTAAACTTTTACATCCACATTTGACAAAAAAGAATACTATATATCTAATATGCTATCTATAATCTGCTGTAGGCAAATATCACACGCTTAATGTTAGCCCCAGGCTAGATATATTTATCTGGGACTATATGGGACTACATTGAATCTATATATAATTGGACTGCAGAGATACTTCAATTTTGCCATAATAATCGTTATATCCTGAAGTTGAGAGAGTATCTGGAAATTTTTATCTATTTTCATATTCTGGAAAAAACAGATTAAATTAAAAAATTTTCTGGGGGGGGGGGGGGTAAACTATGTATAAATGCTCCCTATAAAAAAGATTAAGCATGGTTCTTGTGAAGAATAGTTCAAATACATCTTGCAAAGATTAGATAGTATTTTTCAAAATAAAATATTTTGGCCAGTATAGATTTAAAACCAAACCCTAACTATCATGACTGAACTTCCAACAATATATTTGCCGTAATTATTTGTGTTGGTCTGTTGTCTAAAATATTGTTAACAACATAGCAGCACCTATACATATACAATAAGAATTGAACCTAAATAATACATAGAAAATGCATAACTGCATAGGTAGTCAACACTGCTGAGATATGCTGGTCTATATATTACCTCTGAAAATTTTAAGAAGTATTTCTAATCCTATTTACTCTTAAAGTTTTCTTTCATATCAGAAAATTATATAGCATTCCAGTCTTACCAGAAATTCCTATTCAGTATTACCTGAATTATTTAAGATTGTGCCTTGTCAGTAATTTACATAGTTTTATCAGTAAAAAGAGATAACTTATTTAAAAGTGAGATAGTATGAGCATTTTGAGAGGTACACTAGTATAATTAGCACCTATTGCATATTAATATGGGTAATTAATGTTGAGAAATTAATATTTCAGGCAGTGGTGGCTCCACCTTTACGGCTCTGTCAGAACTACACAAAATCTACAACCAGGACCTTTTTGACAAGAAGATCCTCATGATTCACGCAGGAGGGCAGAGCCAAAGGTTGCCAAGTGCTAGTGTTCTTGGGAAAATATTTTCAGCTCTGCCATTGGGGGAGCCTATGTACCAGCTGTTGGAGCTCAAATTGGCGATGTATCTCCCCGTCATTGAGAAGATGTCACCAGGTGTCCTCTTGACCTCCTCGGACACCCTCGAGTTGTTCAATGATGGCGAGGAGTCGGACTGGGCCATCGATAAACCTGGCTTCACTGCATTTGCTCACCCCAGTTCACTTGAGATAGGAACAGGGCATGGTGTCTATGTACTGGAGGAGCCAAAGAAGATGGGCAAGAAGAAAGTTGAAGAGGCGCTGTGTTTGGAGGTGTTGCAAAAACCATCCGTAAAGCTGATGTACGACAAGGGGGCGGTCATTGAGAAGAAAGATACCAACTCAAAGGCAGAGGACCCTTACGTTTACTCTGACAGCATGTTTTATTTTGACCATACTTTAACACAGAAGATGTTGAAGTGGTATGAAGAGAATGGTCCCATTCAGTGTGAGATCTGTGCTTACGGGGATTTTCTTCAGCCGTTGGGTCCCAGAGCTACCGGGGAGTACATCCACAACACATCTAATGTGAGCCATATGGAGCCTGCTCTGCTGAAAACTCGTGAACAGATGTTCAGTCTTCTCAAAGGCACACAGCTGAACCTTGTTGTGTTCAATGAGTCCAAGTTCTATCATGTTGGTACCACGCACGAGTACATTGACAACCTTTGCCACAGCCAGAGCTTTTCTCAGGAGTTGGGTTTAAGCAGAGATGCTTTCAGTCATTTCTCACAGCACAATGCCAGGCTTGCCAAGATGCCCAAACTCGAGTCTGCCATTGCTGGTTGTGTCATGCATAGCTGTCTCCCCAGTCAGTCGGCGGTTGCTGCCAGTGCAGTAGTGGAATACAGCCATTTCAAAATCCCTGTCAAGATTGGTGCAAATTGCATTATAAGCAACTGTTTCTTTGATGATGACCAATCAGAAGAGCTCTCTCTTGATATCCCTGCTAACACGTTCTTGCATACCATCCCTATGGTACACAATGGCGGCACATGTTATGCGACAGTAGTTTACGGTACCAATGATAACATCAAAAAACGAGCAGCTGATCGTGAATCTGCAGGTCAAATAACCTTTCTTGGTAAAGATCTGAAACGAGCTTGTGAATTTTACAAACTAAAACAGCCAGGAGATCTCTTTGAGAAAAATCCCAAAGCGTTAAATCTCTGGTTCTGTCAGCTATTTCCAGTGGTCAGCAACATGGGTCAGTCTTGTTATTTTGCTGTTCAGATGGCCAAGCACATGCAGTCCAGTAGTGGTGATCAGGAGCTGGACCTCAGTGGCTATCCTCGCGTTTCGATGGCAGACCTGCTGGAGACCAAGGATGTGGCAGCCATGTTGGAATACAGAGAAAAGCTTAGAAAAGTTATTGAGAAAGCACACCATCATTGATTCTTTTTTCTATTGAAGATCTTTTTGCAAGATACTCATTTATGCGTCTTGGTTTCTTTTTCCTCTCTTTGACCATACTCCCTTGATATGAATTTTTTTATTATTTTTTTGGGGGGGGGGGGATCAAAATGTTATGCAATCTTGAATTGGCGTAAATATTTTAGCTTGGGTTATAATAATACTAATTCCACAATACTGAATTTTAGACATGCAACTGTGATAAGTGGAATCATTCAAGCACTGACTGAGAGCATTATGTAGTTCTGACAATTAAAAAGTAATCTGACACACATTTTATTCATAATTCTTTAAACAATAATGATACTTCCCTACGAACTAGGCAGGTACAAATATGATATATATTGTATGTGATGGAGTGATCTAAACTTTTGATTCCTTTTAGGTGATAATTTGGTAGTACTACATGTATTGGGCTGATGGTTACTTTTCTGTGTATTTAATCAAGATGTTTATGTAGATAAATGTAATCTACGATTTCTTTTTCATTATTGTGGGTTAAACTCTCAGTGTTTTATTTATACATTTTTGCCATTCAACTGAAATGAGATGGTTAACAAAGAACTGTAGTTTTAATAGCAAAGTGCAGTTTGGATGTTTTAAAGATTAAGCACAATTGTAACAAGTTTTATCTGACAAAATGCAAGGTATAAAGCTTTACTCAACTGCAAGTAATACAAAAGTAATGATTATTTTTGCCAAACTGCTGATTACAATCCTATAACATGTATATGTTCTGTGTTAAATGTAGCAATATATATATAATAATAATGATATATGATTACAATGAGGTAAAGGAGAGGAACTGTGATATAGTACTTAAATTATTACATTCCAGGTCTGATAATTCGTGCTGTCAATTGTGGGGATGCTTTATATTAAACTATTTACTAGATGTATGCACCTCTTTGTGGAGCGTAATTTACCTGCCATCTTTGTCTCAACAAGATCTTTGTGATGTGGTCTTATTTATATTTGTGTACTTTTATAGACATTTAAAACTGCAATAATGTTTGAAGCATTTCACTTTTTTGCAGTGAGATTTTTTAAATTTATATTTCAAGTGATTGGTTTGGTATTTTGGGGATTTTTGGTTCATCTTATATTTTTGTGGGTTTCAACTTCTTTTACATTTTTCCTGACCAAATGGGGCTAGTTGTTATGCCATGGTTAATAAAGGCACCATTAAACAACTGATTTGTTTCCATCTAATAATTTTTTATAAACATAGGAAGTTATGCTCCAGCTGTACATAGCCTCTGCATTGCAACCTCAAGACCACCTTCACCTTCAAAACAACCATAAATATTTATTGCCATTGTCACTCAAGGACTACGGTAAAGTCTTGAAAATTTCGTCGTTCTTGAAAATTTCGTCGGCAGACGATTTTCCGCCAACTTAATTTTTTTCCCTTTGAAAACTTCGTCGACCTTGAAAATGAAGTACTCGATAATTTTTGNTTTTCGGCGAGTTGATAAAGAGATGCGCAGAAGTGATCCACTTATTCAAAATCTCTTGGCACTGTTAATTGTGCATTTTGACAAGATTTCATCTACTTCCAATCTTAAAGCCAGTTGCAATGTTGTTGTTTTTTTTTCAATTGACATACATCCCCACTAATGAAAATAAAAACATTTTTTGCCTTTTTATTGAAAAAAAAAATTAATAAAAACAAGACAATTGTTAACATTTTAATACATTACTGTTTTTGTATTTTAAATGAAAAGAAAAGAATACTTCACTTGGAACAAAACATTTCATTCTCTGAACAATTGTTGGAATTCCTTTTAATTTCAATTTGAATATCTCAGAAGATACTTGAATAATATGCATTGAAGTTATCAAAGATAGATTTAGCATCCAAACAGCATGTTGTTCATGACACAGGTATGCTTTCTTGGCATCAAATAATTCTTAATATTTAGTGAATTGTATAATTAATATAAACAATGCTCTTCAAACCTTAGAGCAATGGCTTTATAAAATTAGGAATTTTTTTCAGACAAATAAAAATATTCAATTTCTCAAGTAACAGATATGAAGTTACTTACTGAAATATCCTACCCTAACAGTCAAATCATGCTCCATAACTTACACAAAACACAGTTACATGTACTAAATACAGAGATTACAAGCCGTACACAAACCATGTTTCTGTTTTTGCCAAACGGCACACGTACATGTAGTTTAAGTGTTAACCTTTCCAGTTCAGTCTCTGACTCGAGTCAAGTCAGACATTGGCTCCTATAATTGTCACCTTAGCAAGGAAAGGAGAAAAAAAATTGAACACCTGCTATGTAGTACAACCTATAGGCAATAAACCTATGTTTCTTTTTTAAATATTCCACAGTTAAATAACAATTAGGGGCCCTGGCTAAATATATAAAGCCTAGCCTTGAAACACTTCATTTGATAAGCAGAATTTGAAGACAAGAGCTGATCACCCCATTTACAATAATAAAGAAGTCTTCATTTCAGAATATCCACTTTCACTTAGAAAAGTGTAGGACTATCTGCCATGACTTGGAGCCTACTTTCTACCAAATCCCACAATCTCTCTGGGGTTGTTACTGAGGTATTCCCCATTGGACGCAGGCCATTAAATATCCTCTTTGTCTCTTGCAAAATGCATTCTTTAGTCTTAACTTTAACAAAATTTGTGCAGTTGTGAGAGTCCAGTATGACAGGAATGGTAGTCCGCTGGAAACCAGAGTCGATACTCCATTACTTTGTGCAGGTGACATCCGTCCCAAATACTGACCCTGATACTCCAACTAACTCTAATCTGTACTAATCACATGGGACCTCGGACTTCAGTTCCTAGGACTGCCATTCCTGTCACACTGGCGATGGTCTGTCTCCAATCTCAATCTTGCAGTGATAGTGAGAGGAATGCAACAATTTCCATACAACCCTTAAAGAATGTTAATATCTGGTAATTATCTACTGGCATTAAGATGCAAACATCTTTTTGTACATTTGCTTTTCCTTTTCTGCATTTGCTTTTTTGACATTCTTCACTTTGTTGATCTCTTGTATTATGCCTGAAAAAAAGGATTGATACCAATTACTAATGTTATATTTATCAAAGATGGAAAATGTCCATACTTGAACATGAACACAACATTAATCTTTTACAATAACACTGTTGGTGAGTTGACAGTCCCGCCCCCAAATTTCTCACCATAACTATGTTAAATTTACTCTTTTTTATGCTTTCACCTAATTCCAATGCAATACAGCTGATACTGTGTTAGAATATTGGCAGTGAAGTACCTTTATCTTGTGGTTCCTGCTGCAGGGCAGTGTTGAGGTCCTTCTGTGAAAGAAGAAAAGACATTTCTCAGTAGTCATGCAGTTGCACAATTTGAATTACAACTTCTCATAAAACACCTGATTTGCTTAACAGCCCAGTTTTACAAGGACAAAGTTCGATTATTCCTGAAAATTATTTTCTCTTCAGTGATGTTGGATTAATTTTTTTTCTTTTACACTGCCTTCACATGAGAACCACTACTTCTTTTTAAATGGATTCTATTTTAAATACAAACTTACATTTAAGTCATGCAGACTTTATATGTTCATTTCTACAAACCATCACTAATTCAAAGGACACAAATAGATACAAAATCTGCCCCTTACCATTCCCTCAAACACTCACCCCACCATCCTCAGCCAAAAAGGTGAATTAAAACATTATAAAGATTCAATATAAATCTAGACAATATTATGAAATATAATATCATCCACGTTAACATACCAATGCTTCATCCCAATTTTTCAGACCTGACTGTGCCTGGCCTCTTCTGAAGAGTGCTTTAGTGTTCTTATGGTCGATATCCAAAGCTTCATTGCAGTGAGTCAGACTAATCTCGTAGTCCTGGAGCTTAAGACAAGACGCAGCTCTGAAAAATGCAATTGCAACTAGTTAAATCACAGAGCATTTGACAGAATAATAATGATAATTATGAAAATAATAATTATAATGGTGAAGTTAAATATTAAGTATTGACTATTTAGAGATGTTATTATTTGTTAGAGTGATTATTTAACCCCTAAAATCTACAGGTACCCAGCACACAGTCAAGTGAATATTTTGCAACCACTGTTATAATTATGACCATGCTTTCAGGAAACAAGTGTAATGTTTATAAAACTGATTAGCATTATCAAATCTATTATTTTAATGATTACCAATCGCATGTGAATTATCATTCAATGAGATACATGTGACCAATTTTCTCACAAGTTATAGCCCGTCCTATGTCATTCTCTCAAATTTTTTCAATATAAGTAGATTTTCCAGGCTCACATTAATAAAATGACTATCAAACAAATGTTTGGCACTCTGATACATTTCAAACAGTCTTTAAAATATTTTGTAGTCACAAATGTATCAATCATTTTGTGACTTTTACTTACATATTGAGAATTACAGGCAACATTGCTTTGTTTTCTACCTCAATTTCTTCCTCGCCACAAAACTGCAAAGTTTCATCCATTTTCTTCAGGTATCTGAAAATTACAGAAATCAAAGCAAATAGCAGATTATAACTTATCCAAAGGCATAATTACTCATACTTCAGGGATTCCTCAATTGTTAGAACTTATTTCTCTTTAATCGTTTTCTTCTGCATTAATTGTTCTCAAAGATCTTTTTTTCCCTAGAGATAAAAATGCTGTAGATCCTGATAAGTGAAAGTGTAAACCTCAGCTTGTGACTCATGGGCTACTAGTAAATGTTAAATCAGCAAATATCTGGGAGGTTATTCACAACAGATGATTATCAGATTTACTGATCCCCAGATTGAATATGGCGGTCCCCACATGAAAGCAGAGCCAACTAATCCCCTGATGGTCTCCCTGCCTCCACATGTGCTGTCCCTGCAGGGGTCTAGCAATTAAACTTCAGAGCTGTGATTTAATCCATTCAGTGGCGCGTATGGCAACGGGGAGACCATCAGTGGATTAGTCGGTTCTGCAGTCATGTGGACCACCATATTTGATCCGCAGATCAGTAAATCCTACAACAGAGTGGAGAGTGAATTTTTTAATTAACTTTGAAATAAGTTTTAAACAACTGAACAGATAGATGTGCTTTTCAAATTCCTGGTCTTGCAAAAAAAAAAAAATAATAATAATAATAACAATACTCACCTTAAAGCCTTCATATATTTCATTTTTGCTTTATCAAATTCTTTGTTCTTGAAAAAAGTGTTCCCTACTCCTTTGATAAGCATTGCAACTTCAAGAATTTTTTCTTTCTATAAAAAAGGAAATAAGGGGCTGTGTTAACATCAAAAGAGAATTACTATATTTGTGACACAAATGAAGTCTTTAAAACAAAGGCCACTGTCAGAGAGTAGTAAATGGTAGCACCAGGCTCGACTGCAAATTGAAGTATGGATATTTAATGCAATAATTAATTTAAAAAAATCTAGGTTGTATTCTCTATGGTTTTCCACGTGCAAATACTTGAAAATATGACTCCTATTTAGTTAACTTTTACTGCTTCCTTATAAATCAGGCTCACTGATCCCAACATTCCCAAAGACCACAAAACATTACCCAGTACATTCACTTATAGCCAGATAAATATTTAAGCAAGCTTATTTTGACAGTGATAACAAAAACACATATTAAGATCTCACTTGATGAAAGTCTAAATCAGAGTCTTCTGGATAATTGGCATAGCAGTCTTCGGTTCCATCATTTACGGCAAAACCATCCGGCTCTCCAGGCTGCAGCTCCCCACAATCCACTATCACACATGGCTAAAATTTTACAGTTAACCCCATTATGAGATGTTCAACTTCAAATACATCAAAGCTGAACATGCATCACACTCATTTTTCAATTCAAAAACTGATTTTTAAAAACACATTTTTATGTGAACCATGACTGCACATGTATTTAATAATTTATCCTGGTTTTCATAAATGCAAAATATGATCAATTAATGCAATGTATAACTGTAATTTGTATTAATTATTATGTTTTTTGTGACTATATCACAATTTCACAGAGTCAAAATAAGCATTTTTAAACCTTACCTTAACTGGTTTAGACTCCTTGACTTCTGTGTTCTCCAGTGCTCTCACTGTCCCCATTCCTTTCAGGACTTTTCCGAACACCACATGCTTGTTGTCTAAATGCTCTGTCACCACGGTTGTGATGAAGAATTGAGATCCATTAGAGTTTGGACCAGCATTAGCCATTGACAACAACCCTGGTCTGTCATGCTGTAATTGGAATCAAAATTTGAATTTCCCTTTGATGAGGGAAAGATCCATTTGTTTTGCTATCATTTTTCGTTTAAAAAATTACATACACACATAAAATATTCATACAGCTTTCACACTCTTAGGTATTTTTCTCGGTTATGTTCAAAATAAGCAAGTATTCAGAATAAACAATGTGTCAACATTATGAAATATTTATCAACATAATCTGCTTTGATTATGATCTTATATCCATTAATGAGGTCTGATAAACCATGATGCTGATGTATTATTTATACAGTTTTCCTACACCTTTTTCAACATTACTTTTCTGAGGTTTGCAAAATAAGATATCACCAAAAGCAAGTCTATAATTGTTAAACTTACCATATGTAGTATAGAACTTAAAATTACAACCTATAATTCAAAGCAAAAAATGAACAAACCTTATATTGAAAATTCTCATCTTCAAACTTTTCACCATAAATACTTTCTCCTCCTGTTCCATCTCCATTAGTGAAGTCCCCACCCTGGATCATAAAATCCTTGATGACTGAAAAAAAAAACAGTTTGTGCGCTCTTGTCCAATTATAAAAACTACACCTTATCACACTGAATAACCGCTACATGGTTTCTGTTTTATACCAGACTCGAGAGGCACTGAATTCAGCATATTCAGGCCCTTAGGCAGGGGTAAGGTGTTCATATGAACGACCATTTTCATGGCTCAAAAAGGACCCTTTGAAATCAAAATTTCATGTAGGTTTTTTTACTATCATTTCCTAAGTTTGGTCAACTAATGAGTAAAATGGGTCATTTTTCCCCCCCCCCCCCCCCCCCAATAAAGAGCCCATTTTTACATTTTCAGCTACAGGCCAAATATTGATATTGTTAGGCAAAGACAAAACAAAAACTTTGCTGATGGAGATATGAATTCCTGAAATTTTACTATACATTTTACTGTACTGTATTTTACTTGTCACAAGTTTTAAATTCAATACACTTTTATTTTCCAAAGAAGTTCTTACACCGACATTTAATGTATATAAATATTAAGTTGACTAGCTCAACTTCACCATGCTATTGGATTCGTGACACAATCTATGCTGAATGGTTAATATCAGAAAGTTAGGTTAAAATGGGTTATACCAGTATAACAAAGTCTACTTACTTCTGTGAAATGTACATCCCTTGTAATGAAGAGGCTTTCCTGATACCCCATCTCCCTTTTCTCCAGTACAAAGGGCCCTGAAGTTCTCAGCTGTTTTGGGTACAACATCTTTGAACAGTTCAAATACTATCNGACCATGCTATTGGATTCGTGATACAATCTATGCTGAATGTTTAATATCAGAAAGTTAGGTTAAAATGGGTTATACCAGTATAACAAAGTCTACTTACTTCTGTGGAATGTACATCCCTTGTAATGAAGAGGCTTTCCTGATACCCCATCTCCCTTTTCTCCAGTACAAAGGGCCCTGAAGTTCTCAGCTGTTTTGGGTACAACATCTTTGAACAGTTCAAATACTATCCTGCCAGCTATAAAAAGATATACTCAGTATATAATGCTGATTAATGGGAATTTAAGCCTTCTGGTATATTATTATTTCATGTATATACATACCTAAATAATAACAATAATAATAATAATAATGATAATAATTACAATAATAATATGTTAATTAATATATAGCAACCAAAATGTTGAAGTTGTACATGAACTGGATTAGAATAAAATTTACTAAACAATTTTAAAGCAAAAATATGAAATGAAAAAAAAAAAGAGAACATTTTGTAATCCTCTCATTTTTTCACAGGAAGCAAAATTGATGCATTTTAAAAAATATATTTTATCACCTTTTTAATATTGGAAACAAGAAAAAAGTTGATATTTGTTCTTCCTATTCCATCTGGGATCTGTGGTTTTTGTATATTGCATTTTATAGAAAAAAAAGTACAATTCTCACTTTTCCATTTTTCTTTTTAACCCCATACATGGACCATGGAGGTATGAAATTTAAAGATTTATATATACTATTACAGTGTATATATACACGAGTATCTTTAAACCAGGTAAAATAAAAACAATAAAAATGTCCTTGTTAAAATGGTAACATGTCTTCCATATTTTAAGTAATAATGCTATAAATCAGGCATTCTTTTTAAAGGCTTTGCTACAAATGTTATATTCATATTTTGGCTTTATTCAAAATATAAAAAATTTCTAGTTTTACTCGTTTGAACTTTAGTAGATCTACTAGTACAGATGTTAGTCTAATGATCCATGATAGCCAATGATCATTCAATTTTAAAACGTTCAGATTCGTCCTAAAATATGCCTGACCAAGTTGATAACGGTACTGACCGATCCAACATATTAAGGTGACTAACTGTGATTGAAATTATTACCTAAGACACACCGAAAACAGACCAGAAACTTCTAGAATTCCCACGTGGTTTCTAAATATAGCACAACATTAATGGGAAGTTCAGAATGACGGAGCAATTTCGCGCTTATGAATATTTATAATGGCATTCAAACCAGAACACGTAATGCTCTAAAAGTTTCAAATTCAAATTTAGAACATAAATTTCAAATTTATGCGACATTTACCTTCTTCATTGCCGATTTTAATGTCAAAAAAGCAACGGGGATTCCCTTCTGCAGTTTCCGCCATTTTGGGATTTTCAGAAATGAAAACGAGGATTTGTGATGTCATCATGGATTCTCCCTATATAAATGCGCGCGCATAGTTGTGTCGTCATTATCAGGAACAGAAAATGGAGCTCCCTCACTTAGGACAGCAGTGCTCAGAAAGTTTTTGTAAACAACTGGGTATGTAATACGCAAATTCTAAAAACGAAATTATAGTTTTAAACAGTAAACATGAGATATATTCCTCAAACGTTAAGTTCGTTTAAAAATAATCAGATTAACGACTAAAACAGCACTTGAAAATTATACAGAAAGGATGACCAACAGAATTGAGGTTTCCATTCAATGACTCAGTCAAAATTTACTTGTCGAAGTGTTTTTGTGGGTGATGTGTTAGAAATATCATTTCATATTAGGCTAAGTTCTAAGAAAGTGCAGTGCATTCCCACCACCAACATCCCCAAGAAAACAATGTCATGATGTATCCCAAAGTTATAGGAGTAACTTTGTACTTTCAGATTTCCTGCCCCTGAAATGTGATGCATGCCAGAAGATATTTTGGTAAGCTGAATTTTGATGTCTTGTCTATATTCCAGGAACCACCATACATTACACATTAACTATTACTTGCTTATAAAATAGTAAATAAACGTATCATACATTACAAAACATGTAACTTTAAATGAAATGCTAAACATTTGGTTATACTGTGCTGACAAATTTGATCAAACGAAGCTTAAAAGATTAACATTACTTTTTCAGTAAAGATCATTTCCAGTATCAGCACCATAACTGCCCAGAATCATTTAAGAAGGTGAGTTATATATATATATATATATATATATATATATATATATATATATATATATATATATATATATATATATATATAAAGACTGTGTTCAACAAAAACTTGAGACAAAAATTTGTAATTTTAGAAGTAACCCTGATTTTCTGAGAGCTAATTAACAATATTAGTTCCAATTTTGAGCTTGTTATGTAGATTATGTATGTTTTTATTTAGTGTATATACTATACTTTGTCATCATTAATTCGACCATAATAATTTAAAATCAGTAAAACTTTGGCACTTGGTAAATTATTACATTTGCTTTGTATTTAAGAAAACTTGGTGTTGTTAAACTTTTCTTTTATCTCATAGATTGAAAGGTCAGATATAAATTAACGATATAACTCAGTCAGCTCAGTCTGTTAAATTTACTAGTTATTTATCACAAAAACACCATTTTTTGATCAGGACAGTCCATCAATTATACTAGTCATTTATCACAAATACAACATTTATTTGCTCAGGACAATCAGGTTCCAGTGTGTCCACTGTGTAACAAGCCTATCCCTGTGGACAGGGGTGAGTTGCCGGACATCAAAGTTGGTCAGCACATAGACACAGACTGCCAGTCTGACCCAGCAAAAGCAAGGAGAGGGCAGGTAGGTAGGAGAGAAAGACCATAGATTTATGAAAATAGATTGATAGTTGACATACAGATAACACACACACACACACACACACACACACACACACACACACACACACACACACACACACACTTGTACATGTCATTTCCTCAGCTCTGTCTTTGAGCTTACAGTGTTAAAAGAAAGAGGATGTTAACATTTCCAGTTATACTTTCACAAGTCTTTAAATAGAATCTGTAAAGAGAAGGACACATTGCTTGTAAAAGAAATTGAAAGACAGTGCATGATGAAGACATTTTATCATGCTGACTCTGTAAAATATTTATTTTCCTAAGGCCTTAAATGTAAGATTTTTAGTTTTGAAGGAAAGAAGTCACAATAGGAAAAAAGCAACAACATAGTACATGCATTAATTTTTGATGAGGCTTGTAGCATTTGGCCAACATTTCAGGTGTGAAACTTGACTGAAAGGATTTGGAACTGAAAATATCAAAACATGATCTGTGCATTGAGAAAAAGGCGATTTCATATCTATTCAAATAAATGTCATACTCAATATCATATTATTTATCATCTTCTACTTCCAGGTTTACCAGAACAGGTGCTCTAAAAAAGGCTGCAAAACAAGAGAGGTGAGTACATGATTATTCTCATCGTTAAAAAATAAAAAAAATCATATTTGTTCACATTTTCCATTCATGGCTCTGCATTCATTCATCATAGATCAATGCTGCACATTATGGGACTGCATTTTACTGTCCATTTATTTTAGTCTTAATAAAGTGTAATTACACATTACATAAGTTTGAAATCGGCAAATCTTAATATTTGATTTTATACATATTTTACATTTATCTTTGTGCAAATGTATCTATTTCAGCTAGTGCCAGTTGTCTGTGAGAAATGCCACAAGAATTTTTGTTTCAAGCATCGTCATGAAACTGACCACAAATGTCAAGGTTTTGAAGGCACAGGCAGAGGAATGTCTAGAGCAGGGTAAATTTATGACACATACAGTACACCTGGCATATGTAATGGTTTCTCATTAATAGCATGCTCTCCTATAATGTACTGAATCTGGAAAGGTCCCGTCTTACAACAGAGAGCAAACCTGCATTTAAATTTACAGATAAAAATAGCTGACCCTAATTGACTATATAATCATCTTTGAAAATTTTTGGTTTGAAAATTCAGCATTTTCAACATGGCAATTATAATAAAGGTAACTGCTCTGTTTCAGAGCTGCTGCCATGGCACGTAACACTACCAGTTCCAGTCAGTCATCAAAACCTGGTGGTAATAAGTCGACCAGCAACAGCAGACCGCAGCAGTCACTGCTAAGTAACATGGGGAGAGACCTGGACAGGTAAGATACTGAAGACATTTACATCAGAAATTGCATGTCATTGAATTTTTTTTTTTTTTTTTTTGTCTCCTAGACCTATATTTTGAGTATTTATTCTGTAGAGAAAGAAGAGAGAGAGCTGCTCAGGGACAAGGTGCTACTTCAGCCCAGGCTGTGCAAGGTGCTATGGTATGGTCTACACATATTATTTTTCATTGAAATAAATTCTAGGTGGATTAATACTAAGTTGAATGAATAAATAACAGTCATATTTTCTCAAAGCTCAGCATGTTATTTTTAAGTATTATGCTCTTAACTCCAAGTGAATGTCTAAAATATGGTCATATTTCAGATAATATACCAAATAATATTGGATTAGAACATTTGAAAAAAAATCTTAAACAATTTTGTACACCTTAAAATAAATGTCTGCTTTGTTGTAGTCTGAAGATGAGGCGCTAGCAAGAGCTATAGCACTGTCCATGGCAGATTCACAGCAACAACCTCCTCCACCACAGAACCAACAGTGAGTACATACCTTTGTCAGTTTGTAAATTAGCTTTCTTTATATCCATTAGAAGAACATGTTTGAAAAAAAATGTAGTGTAAAGAGCTGGCAAATCTGATTTACCTGTTAGCACTCAATAAGCTATTATAATATCCACTGTTATTATAATTAAAAATTCAACATTGAAGTTGAATTGTAATTCAAACATCTGACCAAAATTGTATTTTAATCCTGAAATATTGATTTTGTTATTATTGAATCATACACCTAGAGGGCACTGTTAATAAATATTTATAAATTGGTGATATTGAAATTGGATTCTTTATAATATCCAGAAAATCTTGTTTTTCTATAGCATGACACAGCAGGAGCAGGAGGACCTGGCCTTAGCTCAAGCCATTGCAGCAAGTGAACAGGATGCAAGGAGGCAGAATCGACGGGTACAGATTAAGTATATTAGCTTACTGACAAATAGTTACCTTATTTATACATATATTTTGGATTCCTGTACTATTTTGTTAAAATCTGGTTTTCAGATTGACAGATTGATTAACATCGGTAATCAAAAATAAACTTATTGGACATTTATAATTGCAAATTGATGAACATGTGATTTTTTTTCTTAAGAGGAAGCAAAGCATAATATCCTTATCAGTATTATTGAAACTTTGTGTTAATGTTGAGTGTTCTTCTGTGTTTGTTTACAGCAAAAGGTGTACTAATTCCATTTCCAGACTCAGGACAGCTCCAACAAATCTTCCTGTAGTCTGTCTTGAAGAGGCCAGCACCACCTACAGTCCATACCTGTCAACAGATGCAGCCCCACCTAGCAACTTCCCCGCAGTGGATATCAAAACAAAATCACATTAAAGGGCCTCTTGTTGAAAATGTCCATTCCTCTCGCTTATAAACGTATTATCCCAGGGATTTGACCTACAAAGACATGGAAATTTGGCCAGAAAAATTTGTTTATTTTACAGTTACATGTAGCACGAATGAATGTATTCCTTTACATAATTTATTGAATCCTCTGATGCAGTTATTTTTACATTATCGAGCTTTTGAGAATCTTTGCCACCTCATGATTGAAGGGCAGCAGGAGGTTTTTACCACCAACTTTCTACTGTGCAATTACATGTTTTTATGTGAAAAATTTCCATAAAGTGAACGAGATAACTTTACCTTATCTTTACCTATTTAAATCTTACTTATACTACATATGTATTTATATTGTGGATGATGGTATGTGAAGTAAGTGTATACTGTATTTATGAAAGATTTTTAACCAAGCTTTTATTTTCTATAAATCCTTATAGCCAATGTGCACTCAAACATGTTTATGTAAAACGGTATTGTATATTATTCGAAAATATATATCTTTGAATGTATTTCAACTGTTCTCAAAGCTAGCAGAAATATGCTTCCATTTTTTGTACGTGCGCCACATATTCCACTCTCAGGAGAACACGAAAAAATAGCTCCATAAAATGCAATTTTCAAGTATATTAAATCTTCCACACGTACATAGCATGAAATTCTTGATATACGAGTATTTATGAGGGGAAATATGGGGGGGGGGGGAATTTTAGAAAACTAAGCATATGGAGTGCAGCAGTTTACCAATATAAACTGGATGAGCACAAGATACAAATGCAAAAGCATGGCAGCAGTTTTCAATTTTATACAGTTCTAATTGTTTACTACTACGAACATGTTACTATCCCAAGAACTATTTTCAGTCATTTTGATAACTGTAGAACCATGCTTGGAGGAAAAAAAAACGTGGGAATAGGGAGGAGGGAAATTTACCTATTTTCAGACCGATACTACTGGCTTGGCACAATCCAATGAGTAATCCCAGCTTGAATCCATTCTATTTAGGGAGAAGTGCAATCATCAAACTTGAAAACACCGACTAAACAAATAACATTTTTCTTTTTATTTATTTCATACAAATGGCAGACATTGCAAGTTTACACATTTTCCATTCTTATGTACAAATTCCCTGTGGGCTTTAGAATAACTTGCCTAATCTACCATATTCTTGGGAGTTTTTAAAAATATCACTTGCCATGATAGGATTTTCACTTTTGATCAATTTTTGAGACATCTGAAAACCCACATTTATGGTTAAAATCAGAACTACAGAAGTGCATTCACAATTGTGGTCACATTCTCTCAGCATTCATCATTCATGCTCTTTTGTAATTAAAAAGGAAATAAATTGCTTTGGAATAATGTTTCGAGTGGATCAGAGTAGTATTTTCCAAATCAACAACAGCATGTAAACTTGGTCATTGACATCCAGTAAAAATATGACTAAATAACAGTTCCACATGCTTTAGGGTCATCAAGATAATCTACTTAAATAAAAATAAAGACAAAGAATAAAGCAACATAGCAGAAATGTAAAATATATACAAAAGACTAAAATAAGGCTACTTTAAAAATAAGGTCAAGGTTTTGCGTACAGCTCATAGACTTGCCAGTGTTTTAGATATTATTTATATTGCATTATAAAATCTAAAATAAATAAAACAAGGACTGTTGCACTCATCACAAGAACAAAGTGTAAGACTTTACTCTTGCCTTCCAGAAATCAACTTCAAAATATTCTGCAAGACCAAGAAGAAAAAGCATCTTTCAGAATCACAGAACTGTTGAAGTTGATTGCACATTAAAATGTTTCACAGATGCAGTTCCTTTACAAATTTCAGCACTTGGGACTACAAGAGCTTCTTCTGAACTTGGCCCTCACCTCACATATAAAAATGACAACAGTTGGGTCCATTTACCATTTCTCAGGCCTTGACTGAATGAAGAATTTGAAAGATTGCACAGTGGAAACCGTTGATTAATCGTTAAAAAAAAAATAATAAAAAGCTTCACAGATGAAAAAACATCACAAATAAAACCAGCAAAAGTTTCAAATTCACAGATTCATACAGGCCTGACAGAAGGACCAACTGCATCATTACAGTCCACACTGAGCAATGCACATTTCATTTTAGCTAAAAATAAAACCAGCATTCTCAAATCATGAAGGGTTATCTGAATGGGTTTTAATGGTCGGCGAATGCGATGAGTTTCAGTCTTGAGATGAGCAGCAAATCACAACTGGTTGTTTGGTTGGAAGATAGCTAGCTACAGTGTCAATAATAGTTTCAGTGAACAGCTCCAGTTGGGAAAGTCAGTCTGGGTGATAGAGTAGATACTTGGTGGTATCTGAAAATATCAAGATACAACTTTAAATATGAACAGATCCGCATGCGTCAGTCTACAAATCCATCTTAATGTCATCATTTGAAAATATTGTATTTACTCCTTTTACTTGAGAGGTAAAGACCGACAAAATTTCAGCAAAACTAACACTTATATCCAAATTCTCAAATACAATAAAAGCCAATGTTCTTACTTTGATGACTTGTACTTTTCCCTCACTGCTTGCTGTGGGTGATTCGGAGCATTGGTGAATGTTTTATGCATTGCGTGTATTAATAATTCCAGGGATTTTACACTGTAACCTGTGCTCTGCTGCATATGGTAAGACTGGAAAAACAATTTAATTTCGTTCAACATTTAATCAACATACACAGATGAACTTTTAAACAACCATATGGAGATGTTGTTATTAACTCAATTCAGAGACCAGAGTTATTGGTATTTTCAGTGGCATTTCAGAAAAGCCTCCAAGTCTTTCTCAAGTGGGATCCAAAATGGCCCCTCTCCTTTACCCAAACATCTATTTCAAATGCATAAGGATTTGAATTCTTTTAAAAAAAGGATTTCAAAAAATTAAGTTTCAAATCCACGATTTAACCTGTTGCAAACTTACCCAAGTTTGATGCCCAAGTGTGTGGTTTGCTAAACAGACTGCAGATGCTGCAATTTCGCTGGGCAGAAATTTTAGATATGGGTCAATGTCAATGAGGGTCAGCTCCACCAAATACTGAAAGATGAAGATTTCAAGTTGGTTAACCAATTACTTATGATAAAATATGCAGTGTAAAACAACTAGTTATAAGACAAACTTCTATCCACAACTCCATTATAATAAACTACCCTTCACAGCTTGGATTTCGCCTCTGACACTGGAAAAGATGGAACTTCCAGTTATTTTTTACAAATGAGAAACTGATTTGGTGTGGAGAGAGAGAGAGAGAGAGAAAATAATACCATTGCTAGTGACTTTGTCTGATCATCAGCACCAGAAATCTCCAGGAAGCGTTCACAAAAACAATTGGCAGTGGGCACAGCCACATCAAATGAGAGCACTTTCAGCACTAAATGTTCCATTCTAAGTACCTAGAAAACAAAAATTAAAATACATTTGCAGAGATGAAACTGAAACAATTCCCTCTTGATAAGAACTTTCAGTTGTACAAGTTTTGTTCCCTAATACTGACTTCCACTAAGTTGAAAATAATGAAGTATATTCAATGGACAACACAGAAAACACCTCACCTGTTTCTTTGTGTAAGTGTCATCAGTAATGTAAACAAATTCGCCAACATCTGGAGGATAGATCTCTTCATATTTGCTGTAGAAAAAAAATCCAATTATGTGTTGGGATATAATGATGAAAGCACATTACTGCGAAATTTCATAACGTGTTGGATAAATTACAAATCCATGTGAGAAGTATGATAATTTGTTTGGTCTGTTTAGACATTAAACTTACTAGGCTACTTTTATCACATTTTCCTATCGCTTTGTGCTCATACCCTTGTCAGCTTGAAAATCTTTCAATTTCTTTTGTAAGGAAAAAAAGAAAAAGAATTTGGAAAAACTGAAAACACTTACGCAGCTAAGAACATGCAAGCAGCACCAACTAATTGCAGCTTTCCCCTAAGCACTGACATCTGTGACAAGAACCTATCAATGTAGCTGACGGCTAAACAGAGGGTCTCTCTGTGCAGCTTGTACTCCTCAGCAACCTCAACAAGCCAGTCAACAAGAATACAGCGCATATTTGTCGTGATATCTGGTTGTTTTCTCATGTACTCTGGCTTTGGTCTGTGTCTTCGCTGAAAAAATAAATACAGGAAAATAATGAAATATTTCATTTATTGAAAAAAACATGGCCGATATGTAGAATTCATATTTGTATAAGCAATGAAAATCTTTCTTTTAATCCTACAGTCAGCATGTTTATGTCATCATTGGTTTGAATTTTAAAACTCATTTATTTCAAAACTTCAATCTTTCTTTTTACCTCTGCTTCTCTGAGGTAGGTATAGATATCCCCAGTGTACTCTGGTACTGTCAAGATAATGGCTTCTCTCTCTTCTCCTGGAGTCAGATGAGGCCTTTCTTCCATAGACACATCCAAGCACATAGGAGAATCTACAAAAGGAAGAATTCCATCGGAAAATAATTAAGAGTAATGCATAATATTTCTTCTTTTCGTAATAACCATTCTTAATGTAAAAAATATCACTTAAGATGCTTCGAATTTCTTAAGAAATTAAAAGGTCCCCCAGCTCTAAACCATATAACGTCTGACAGTACAAACGTTTAACCGTTTTCAAATTGGCTGACCTGAATTTTTTGTTTTTATATAATTTTACCTGTTCGTTCATATGCTGTTTCAGCAAGTGAAGTAACTGCTGGATTTAGCTGCAAATTAACATCTGAGCTGTCAGCTGGTGGTTTTATCACATGTGTTATCTGAACTTCTGGTTCGTCGTCAACGTGGATTGTGAATCCCTGTGAGGCGGCGATACCGAACGACTTCCCAACCTGGTTTTCATCCTGACCGAATCCCGAAAATGTGCTGGAAGCATTTACCTAATATAAAAGGGAAGGAAATTATGGTTAGAATACTTTGGTGGCAGATGAATAAGTATTCGGGCGGTAAAATTAATCCTGACTGGGACAAAGAAAAAATTTGAAAATGGCGGACGGTTTACCTGCTTGGGTTTGGCCGCCCTCGACGGTTGAACTCTCTGATTTGTGATAGTTCCCAGTGCTACCCTCTTTGTTGCATGAGGCCCATTTGTTTCTCTTTTTGTCTTTCTCATAGCAGCACTAACTCTAGAGTCTGCAGAATCATCAGCTATGTTGGTGAAGCCACCTTGATGAAATTGAAAAGCCATGTTGAATATCCACCGGTTTTTTTCCAAGTCTCCTTTAAAAACGGCTTAAGAAGAAAGAGTAAAATGCTTTACGGTTTGCGTAAAAGATACAAATAAGTAAAAGCAAGGGCTAAAATTCAGCCGGCTATGAGCCCTGTAAAACGATAAAATAGCTGCTCAAATTCCAGCTTGCATCCACATCCACAGCTGGTTTCTTCTATACTGAAGTCGAATCGTTAAATTCCCCGCGAGGCCCCGGGTCGTCCAATCAAATTTTTGCATTCTGGTCACATGGCAAAGCAAACAACAACTCACTGCCTCGCTTTGACCCAGCGCGAAATAACAATTTAGCAAAACTAAGACTAGAAA